ATAAATGAGCATAAACAACTTGCTTGTCCAGTAACCAAGAGACTGAGTTTAGGGGCCTAGAAAATTAGGAAGTTAAAAATTAGTGAAGTGTCAGATTGACTTTCACTTAATTAAAATAGCAGCCCAAATTTCCCTTTTTGTCTAGAACCTTCTGTATGGATTTGAGGAGTGCCAGATGCTGATCCTTAGAGCAGATTGAAACACTCTCCCCATATTTCAGTGACACAAATACAGAGGCTACCAATGCCTTTACGAGATAATGACCCCAAAATAGCAAACTTACTGAGATCCATCTTTGAGAAAAAAATTTCTCCTTGTCGGTATTTCACCCTCTGATCCAATACTGTCTGTCCGTTCCCTTTCTTTCTTTCTAGAAGAAAAAGAAATTGAAAACTATTCCTGTCAAGGCATATTTGTGTGTGTGTGTTTTTTTAAATAAACATTTAATTGAGAAAGGAATCACTAATGGACCAACGTTTAGGGGTACAGTGGGAATTTGGTCATGTCCAGGTGGTCTCCCTGGAACTTCTCAAACACCCCAGGAAACCTTTCTTATTTTTACAAATGAGCAGGGGCAGGATGGCGAGGGGGGGTTCTGAGGTTCCAAATGTTTCTGGAGGAGAATAGATGTTCCTTGTATGAGAGAGCCTGCTGAACTCAACAGGGTGAAAATGATAATGTAGCTCTGATCTATCAAGCATAGACCAGATGCCAGGCGCAGTATGAAGCACCTTGTATATATTATGCCTCTCTTTTTACAGCTTTCTTGAAGTGTTGTTGATGTGCAATATACTACACATATTCAATACTGTTATAATTTGGATCTAAAATATCCCCCAAGGGCTCATGTGTCAAAGGCTTGGTCCCTAGTTGTTGGAATCATTGGGAGGTGGGGGAAACTTTAGGGGTGGCCTAGTTGGAGGAAGTAGGTCACTGAAGGTGTGATGTTGAATGGTCTATGGAGACCCTGAATCCTTCATCTCTCTTTCTTTCTCTGCTTTCTGGTCACCACAAGGTAAAAATAGCTTTCCTCTCGCTTGCCCTCCTGCCATGATATCCTGCCTCATGACAGGCCCAGAAACAATGGAGAGGAGACGAGTGACTGTGCATTGAAACCTCTGAAACTGTGAGCCAAAATCAATCTTTCCTTCTTTGTTTATCTCACGTACTTTGTCACAGTGATAAAAAGCCAACCAGCACGGATATGTATACTTTGAAAAGTTTTGATATATGTATATGTCTATGAAATGACCATGAATAATCCATTATGAATAATCCATCATCCCTGAAAGTTCCCCGCTGCCCCTCCCTCCTGCTTCTCCCTGGCCCACATCCTTATCCTCAGACAACCACTCACGTACTTTCTGTCAGTAGAGATTCATTTGTATTTTTTAAAACTTTATATAAATGGAATGGCACCATATGGCCTGTCTTTCATCCGACTTCTTCACTCTGCACAATTGTTTTGAGATTCATCCATGCTCTCAAACATAATAATATAATGCATTCCTTTTTATTGCTGAGTAAATATTCCATTGTATAGATTCACCATGATTTCATTATCCAGCCACCTACTGATGGTCATTTGAATCATTTCCAGTTTTAGAGCACATTGTAAGGGAGTTTTTATAACTGAGATGGTTTTTATAACTGAGTTTATTTCCTTCAGTCCCTAGAGTAGAATTCCAGAAAACCTACTTTTCCGAAACAGGCAGATGTTAAGTTCAATCCTCTTCAAGAGATCAACCCTGTTTCCATTCACAGTGCATATATTCAAAGGCTTTCAACTGTCCAGCTCCGTCCCATCTCAGAGCACTTATCTCAGTAGAGATGCTGAGAGCTGAGTACACAGTGCTTACCGCAAACTTGGTCTGGCACACTGAAGCAGGGCGGCATTCCAGTTCCCTGTTTCCCAGAAGCTCTAGACGTGTGGGCACCATCTTGACTCAGCAGCTGGGATTCTTCAGGACCAGTGTGGATCACTGCCAATGTAACATGCAGTGAAACTGGTCCCCGGCCTGGCTGGTCAGGGCTCTTATCATGAAAGCTCTTCTGATTCCCTTTCTCAGCTCCCTGCATAGGGCATAAAGCTGGAGGAAGAGGTTCTGGAGTCAGCCATCTCCCAGGCAAGAGAAACGGGGAGACACTGACAAAAGAAGATGAGGGCCATGGGACACAAGCTCCATTTTGGAACCATTGCCCCAGAGCATGGTAGAAAAGGCCTCTTCTCTGGAAGTTCTCACAGATGCTGATGACAATTCCCAAGGGACAGTGGCCCTCCATTAGTTCCTCTTAGAGGACTTTGTACCCTCGATGGCCACGTGATCAGCTTGGGTTTTCAGTTTATCACAGTCATACCTCAGGATGAGTTAACACTGCTTCTTTGTCTGACCCAGAACTGTACCTTCTCTGCACTACATCTCCAGGCTGGGCTAGCTAGTGATGTTTGATTACATTCTGAACTTGAGGTCCTATGTCAGTGGCCCAGGATTCATGCTCAAAACTGTCTCGAATGTCTGTTTTCTTACTACCATATAGCAAGGGTAGAAAGAAATGTTCCTAAAATGACCTTTGGGAGGCAGATGTTCAGCCCGAAAGGAGAAAGAGTTCTGCTATAGTCAGAAGTGAAAAAACAAACAAACAAACAAAAAAAAAAAAACCCATGAATCTACAATATATATGTCAGGAGCACATTGTCAGGAACATGTGTTGGGGGCAGACATGTTAGGAACAGCAGGAAGGGCCTTGCCAGGCCCAAGCAAGTTAGGCCATACTCTTTGTTTGGACCATGGAAGTAGTCTTTCCTAGTGGCTTTAGTTACCTAGTTCAAGAGCTGCAAAGAACTGGCTGGTCATAAACCACACACACACACACAACACACACACACACAACACACACACACACACACTCTTCAGAGGCTCAACAGCACATGCCTGAGCTACACAGCATTGGACAAGTCACTGGCCTCCATGTGTCTTAGCTTTCTCATCTGCACAATAAGGAAAATCATTGACTCTTCTTCAAGGTTTGCTGTGAAGATTACATGTGGTTAATACAGGAATTATTTAGCACTGTGGTGGGGTCAGCTCTGCTCTTACTCTAGTAGGGACATTCTCTTGCCTTAACACCTCAGACGAAAAAGTCACTCCCAGAATTTTTCAGAGGAGACCAGATGAAGGTCCAAATGAGTTTCCTATTTTTCCCAGAGGAGAAGGGCAACCAGAAGACATCTCTGCTCAGGAATGTTTCAGTGAGATATTGACATGTGGATAAAGGTTTGTTCTCTTGAATCTGTGGAGACAGATCTGAGGGAACAGTCTGAGCTTCTGGGAGTTTTATCCCAGAATCTGGGAGATTATTGATACTGTATCCAGAATAAGGTCTTTCCAGCCTGTGAGATTACTCCAGCACTGAGAATCCACAGGCAAATCTGACAGCAAGTGAGGGTTTCTTTGTACTTGCTCTCAAAAGTCAATTTCCTCAACTGCAGCCTTAACTCCCTGGGATATTTCAATTAAACATCCACCTACCCTGCACCTTGCATGGGTGATTACATGTGTTACCTAAACTTGCTATAAAATTTTGAGGTATTTTCCAAAGAAAGGACTCTGGTCTGAGACCTTAGGACAGGAATGCTCTCTTCACCTTATAACAGGTTAAAATTTTTAAAAATTTCCCTCACCCTCCCTTCATGTGCTATAGGTATATCTATGTCCACATTTTTCAAATGATGTATCAAGTGACTTAAATCTCAGCAAAAGATGGGCATTACTGGGACTAGGGCTGTGACTCAGTGGTAGAGGGCTTGCCTAACATGTGTAAGGCACTGGGTTCAAACCTCAGCACCACATAAAATATAAATAAAGTTAAAAAATAAATAAGAAGAAAAGAAATCATACTGATGTTAAAAAAAAAGATGGGAATTACTGCCCTTGGTGATACCCTCAGATCTCATTCACATTACTTTTGTTATCTTTCTTCACCTTTGGGAGGAGAGGGGAGATATTCTTATTATGTTCATGACAACTAATCACTCTCTGTGCTGTCCGCCAGCTTGGTTTACAATTAGTTTTGTCTGGCAGCCCATATGGAAGTGAGTTCAGACACCTGAATGTGGGCAAGCATATATGTGTGTGTTCTATTTCCTTTTATTAACTTAGGGACCATTTCTCACCTTGTTCTCTAACTTTGCAGCCAAACTGAATACAGGGCTCTTATTGATTTTTGTGACCTGGAGTTGGGTTTCTCTCAATGAAAATGAAATATACTCAGATCAGTTTCACAGAGCATGGAGCAAGCAAAGAAATGAGGCATAAATTCAGGTGCACCCAGGTAGAGGATGTGGTTGGACTTCTTTCTTTGGGCAGAGGCCAGCAGCTGCAGTTGGGCTTAAACTGCCAGACTGACTGTACAGGGCAGATTTCTGGAGCTTTCACTATGAAACCCAATTCACCTTATTTACCCTATTCTATTGACATGAGTTCTGCTTGCAAAAGAACTAACACTATAGACTGTATATCGCTCAGCCTACCTGGAGTCCTAATTCTGAGCTCAGTAAATTTGAAATGAAAGATCTTTTCTGCTCTTTGCTTGTGTTTATAATTTTTGGAGGCATATGTGCTAAGGAAAGAAGAAATGTTTTCATTCTATAGTCAACTTTGCAAATGGCATTATTGTTCTCTAAACCAATAAGGTTTTATTTTTTTAAATCAATGGAAATTGGCAACTGTGGTGGGAGATTTGAATAGCATTTCTGCTGTTTCCATTGGGAAAACAGCTGAATGACTTCTTATCTCTCTTTGGTGGAGTACTGGACTTGATATCTTTATTAAAGGCCATTGAATTGTTGTTTCAGGGATGGATTTTGACCCAATGGAATATCCACACTGAAGAAGAGTAAGTATATTTCTTTTCTTTCATTTCTTCCCCTTCCCCTTAATCAATATCTCTCTCTCTCTCTCTCTCACTCTCTCCTTATTTTGCTTTATTTTTTAAACACAAGCACTCAGACTGAATTTTATCCACTTGAAAAAATAAGGAAAAGAAAATGTCACCATTGGCAATGACAATTGCAATGAAATCCTCACTGAAGATGGACTTCATACTCAGGAGAGAACTCTACACCTCATTTCTGTGGCTTCTGGTGCCCTGTATGTTCAGAGAAACATCTCTAATAATAAATCATAGAAATGGTCCCTGCCAGTACGGGCTTCAGAGTGAGTCTATTTTTTACCTAGAAGGGAAATGCCATCCACCTGAGGCTGTTAGCATGATGTTTGGCCTTCTCTTAATTACCGAAGAAATTAAATTCCATAAAATTTTCTAGCCTCAGAGTTTCACGTGTTGCAAAGGGCAGAGCCTGCAGAGGTCGCTCATTTTGAATATTTTTCCTTTAATTATTTGTTCAATGATATAAAAAGACTGCTGGCTGATTGTTTGTTGTTTTTCAATGAAACTTCTGTGAAAAGAGTCAAGGTAGAATTTCCTCTCTATATTTTGTTTGCTTACTTTCTTCCCACTTCTCTTTGCTCATCTTGCCAAAACTAACGTTTCTCTATGGCTTTGGTATTCTTTATCCTCTAGCAGGACTTTTGATCTCTGAAGATTTAAAGTTTGGAATAGGCATTGGTGGCCTTGAGTTTACAAAAAAGCATTCTTGATCTCCATAATGTCTTGCTTTTTTTGAACATGACTTCTTTCATTAATGTGGTTCCCCTTATATAAGATCCAATTATTAATCAAGTCAAAAGAGTATTGGGAAAATATCTGGTGAATTTGGGACAGTCCAAGGAGGCTTCCATAAACATTTGAGAAGTCTCAAAGCTCTACATGTAGAACTGGCTTAGGAATCCAAATGGGGACCAGAACCAAGGAAAGACCAATAGTCTCTTCCTTAAATCTAGTTGGTGTTGGTCTAACAATTCATAAGGAACAATTGTAATATTACCTTTTTCCAAGACTGTTATTCATTTTTCTTCAGAGGAAGGTAGGTCTCATTTCCTGGTTATTGTGCAGCATCTTAAGCTCAAACCAGTAAGACCAGTGCTCCGGGCTATTTCCATGAGGCCAACATCTATGTTCTGTTCTACCACCTGGGTTCACAATTGCCCCCTGCGCTTCATCCATTGATCATTAGATGAGTTAAGTCTGTGGATAAACTGAGCACATTCACCGCACTTCTGTAAACTTCCCATGAGGGAAAATTATGCTGTTTGAAAGTCTTGAATTTGTATTAAGAATTGCGTGGGTTTTGTTTAAAGAATTGTAAGAAAACAGGGCCAAACTGATAAACTATAAGAGGTCTCACTTAAAAAAAAAAAAGACAGAAATAAATTTACTTTTGTGGAAGTAACACATTCTGTAGTTTCTGAAATCCCAGAATTCCTTTATTCTAATTCAAATGGCTATTTATTGGTCAGGGTTCTGAGTTGCAAACAGAATCCATTCTGGTTCGTTTAAGCAGGAAAGGGGTTTATTAAAGAACATCAAGTAGATCGTGGGAAATCAAGATGGGCCAGAGAGTAGGCTCTGAGCCATCTGGGAGCAATGCCTGGCCATACCACTGGAGATTCTTGGGAAAAATTGTCTTTGCCACCATTGCTTTGCATCTGGGAGGAAACTTAAGATGGTATAAGGAGCTCTGGCAGTGCTGTTCTCAAAGATCTAGATGCCTCTACCATCACACCAATTCCTTCTCATGCAGCCAATTCCTCAGGCTGCTCATTTCCAAATCCAAGAGTCTTATGTGTCAATTTAATTTGTGGAATTGAGGTTACCCTATCTAAAAGGAACTCCAGGTATGCAAGATTTCTATGTAGCCCTACCCTGGAATGATGCAGCTTATAATTTGGAATATCGTCCAAAGGTGTGATATCATAAAAATTAAAACTATTTGTGCTTCAAAAAACACCATCAAGAAAGTGAAAAGACAACCCATAAAATGGAAGAAAAACTTTGTAAATCATATAGATGATAAGAGACTTGTATTTTTTTCTGTGTAAAGAAATCTTATAACTCAGCAATGAAAAGACAGATAAGTGAATTAAAAATGGACACAGGATCAGAATAGACATTATGTAAGAATACAAATGGCCAACAAGCATCATTAGCCATAAGAAAAATGGAAATCAAAACCACATTGAGATGCCATGAGGTACCCACTAAAATGGCTGTAATCAAAAAGAAAAATAATAGCAAGTGCTGGTGAGGATGTGGAAAAAAATGTAACCCTCATAAGTTGCTGTTAGAAATGTGACATGGTACAGACCCTTTGGAAAACCAATGGGCAGTTCTGCAAAAGGTTAAGCATAGAGTTACCTGTGTCCAGGAAATTCCATTCTTAGATATTTACCCAAGATAACTGAACCATGGGGCTGGGGATGTGGCTCAAGCGGTAGCGTGCTTGCCTGGCATGCGTGAGGCCCGGGTTCGATCCTCAGCACCACATACAAACAAAGATGTCGTGTCCGCCGAAAACTAAAAAATAAATATTAAAAAAAAGAAAACCGAACCATAATTCACACAAAATCTTTCATATGAAGGTTTAGAAAACCATTATTCAAAATTGTCAAAAAGTAGAAATCACCCAAGAGTTCATCAATAATTAATGGATAAATAAAATGTGTGCATCCATATGGTGGAATATTATCTGGTCATAAAAAGGAATGAAGTACGAGTACATGCTACGATCTGGATAAACCTTGAAAATATTATGCCAGGGGAAAGAAGTCAGTTACAAAGGAACTAAATATTGTATGATTTTATTTATAGGAAATGTCCAGGTATGAGTTTGCTAGGGTTGCCATAATACTACCACAGACTGGGTAAGTAGGTGGCTTAAGCAATATAAATTTATTTTCTCACAGTTGTGGAGGCTGGAAATGTGACATCAAGGTGTTAGCAGGGTTTGTTTCTTCTGAGACCTCTATCCTTGGCTCGGAGATGGCCATCGGCTCTGTGTCTTCACATGGGCTTCCTTCAATAACTCTGCCCAAATTTCTTCTTCAATGTTACTACTCATATTTGACTACAGCCCATCCTTTTGATCTCACTTTCACTTCATCAACTCCTTAAAGACTAAAGTCACATTCTGAGGTACTAGGAGTTAGGACTGCAACCTTTGAATTTCAGGGGGACATACTTCAGCCCTCAATAGTCAGTAATAGGCAAATATATATAGAGAGAAAATAAATAGCTTAATGGTTGGCTGGGCTGGAGGATGATGGGGATTTGGGGAGATGATGGCTAATGGTTCAGAGGTTTCTTATTGGGGTAATGAAAATGTCCTGCTATTGCCTGTGGTAATGGCTGCAAAATTATTCGAATATACTGAAAGCCATGATATTGTACACTTTAAATGGGTGAATTGTATGGTATATGAATTACATCTTAATAAATCTGTTGCCAAAAGAATAAAAAAATAATGAGGAAGTGCCCAAATGATTAAAGTTTATTACAGGAAATTAGTACCATCCTCAGCTGAGAAATAAAGAACAAGCCAGGAAATAACATCCCACGGTCTCTATGGATTAGGCTGAAGTGTTCCTCCTGCAGCCTTATCCTAAATCACCTTGACATGCCCAGTGGGAGCACTGGTGGGGCTGTTTTTGCTATAATTCCAATGTCCTTCTGGAGTCTTAGGGAACAAGGTGAGCTGGCTGTGACTGATGTCATCCCTTTAACATCCAAGATGAATGTGGCTGCTCCCATGAGTGTCCCTTGCCTTGACCAGAGCTCAGAGTGCAACCTGGAGATCTGTAGAGTGTAGAAGGGGATCATCTTCTCAGAGTCACAGTCTTTCTCAGTCCTGGGATGTGTTTATTTCTAAGAAATAGATTCAACTGAGAAATAAAAATGTTTAACTTAGAAACAACAGAGACTGCTCTGGTTGTTCATTTGGCCTTTTTACAGTAGGATCCCTTAATCCCCATCTGGCCCATTTGCATGACTGGGCCTCTTACTTTTCATCTCCACTGTGGACCTTCCTCAGATTCTGGTCACTTTTACATTGACTAATTTGCTTGTGGTGTTTTGTATGTTTATTTTTTTCTTGCTATAAGTTTATTTGAGGGCTTATCATTGCTCTAAAGAAGTATGTACAGGAGAAAGTACTTGATAATGGGTGGAAATGGGAGAGAAAGGTCAATGAAAGCTGCTTTGAGTATAATATTGTGGATTTTGAGTATTCGGGGATTGGTAAAAGCAAGGAAGGAAAAGTGGAGAGAAATGGAGAGAGAGGAAAGATGCTTCAGGCTGAGTGATCGCTATGAACAAAGTCACAGAATGCTTGAAATAGCCAGGAGCACAAGGGCAGCTGTGAGTCATTTGATTTGGCTGCAGTGCGGGGCAGGGCAAAAGGTCAGCCTGGGTAGGTAGGATGAGACCCAATAGAGCCAGGGGCAAAAGAGAAATTGGCCAGGCTATGTTACCACAGACCCTTAAGGTATACAGGGCCATCAATTTAAATCACCAAACGTTATTCAGAGAGTGGCTTTTTTTGATTTATATTGAAATCAGCTCAATTATTCTAGATAATGGTATCCAGCAAATTTTGGGTGGAGCAATGTAATGGAATTGGCCCACATGAGCATTTGCAGTGAGTATCCAGATAAAGTTGACATAGATAGAGAAGAAAGCAAAAGGACATCATGATAGTCTCTGTGTAAAGGGAAGGAAAAGCCACTTTCAGCCACCCCAAACATAAGCCACAGATGGTCCAACCCCAATGAACTTCAGGAGAAACCAAATACAACCAGTCCAGATGAAGCCACATGGCTGCAAATGCTTCTTACACAAGTTTTTAATGATACTTCCCTACTTCCTCTGTCTGGATTCAGAGTCAGAGATCTTAAAGCTAGAGTTTCCAATCATGACAAGGCATCCCTGCTTACATCCATGTACCCACACACTCATCAATCCATGTACATATCCATCCATTCGTCCATCCATCCATCCAAGTTTTGAATCCTTGTCTACCTCATGATACAGTCTTTGTACCTGACTATATTATGAGGTATAATATATATATATATATATATATATATATATATATATATATA